TTAAGTAAAAAGGAAAACATCCTCCCACGCGAAAAACATCCGTTCGTCAGGAAAGATCTCAACATGTAAAAATATTTCAATGGCATTTATTAAGGTCTTGGCCAGAGGAGGGAAGGTGATTATCCATCGGGTTTGAGTCTCGGAAGACTTTCGCTTTTAATTTCACCACCGTCGTCGCCCCGCCCTCTGGTCTCTTAAGTGGTCACAGGAGCCCGTCTTAGTGTCCTCAAGGAAGGGTTACCACGGACCTCCTCCCCTCCTAAATGGTCGCAGTAACCTTTGGCAAGAATTTATCCAATGACCTAACCCGGGGAAGGATATCGCTGAAGGATTTTTCAAGTTGTCATGGACAGAGGTATTCCCATCCTTCTCCTTTGGTTTTCCTGAAGGATTCCTCAATTTGTCCTAGGCTTTGGTTGTGGCGTCCTGCGTGATGGATTTTCCCTCAAAGATTCATCATACTGTCGAAAATGGCATTCGTAGCATCCCCTCGCTTGAAGAATTTGTCTGTAGGATTTCTTAAATTATTTGAGACGTCACTCGTGGCTTCCTCCTAGAAAGATTTTTCTGTGGCCAAATGCCTGTCGAGAGAAATTTTACGTGTGCCTGACCCGGCGTAAGAGAGTATAGCGGCTGTCAGTGGAGGCTCTTACTCCCGCCCTCCCAAGTTATCTTCTCAAGCCACGGCTGCCACCACCACCACCAACTTAAAGAGCATAAATAATAATTCCGACCACAAGACGTGATTTTATTGTTTTTATTCTCGTAACTAATGGTGTGTGTGTGTGTGTGTGTGTGTGTGTGTGTGTGTGTGTGTGTGTGTGTGTGTTCCCCTGTACCCTCAAGAAGGTTAGGTTTCTCATCGTGTCTGACTCTGGTTGTGACGGTGAGCTCTCGTGGATAATTGTGACTTTACAGTTTCCTGAATGGTTGGGAAATTTGTCTCCGAGGTTACCGGCGTCTTGATGTTTTCTTAAAGGATTCGTGGGTTTATATTATTATGGCTACTGCTTGTGTCAAGGAAAAGGTGTGGCAATATGGATTCACGTCTGTTAATGAATGGTTACAACTTACAATGAACCGTTCTAGTAATTGGCTGCTTCTTTCTGCGACCAAGACACCATCAGGAAGCTACGACTTAATGTTCATCCTGTAAGACACTGACAACCTGTATCTTTGTCCTTTTCCAGCCTGTAAGATACTACCAGAGCCTACATTTGCCTCCAACCATCCTGTAAGGTAATAAAACAGCCTACACACCTCTCACGTCATCCACCAAGTGTAAAAAAGGAAAAAGTGAACACCCGGCTCATTCATGTCCGTCACCGACCCTTGCTACGAGGATCTTGTAACCTGAGACCCGCCGCGGCAGGAGGAGGAGAAAGAGAAGGAAGATGGTGTAGGAGGAGGAGGAGGAAGGAGAGAGGAACAGGAGGAGGAAAAGGATCGTGTAGGAGGTGGGTGTAGGATGGAGGGAGAGAGGAGTCCTTCAGGGTAGGTGCGGGTCATCTCACACACTGTTGACGTAGGTCGTAAACCCCCCCGCCAATAAACCCTTTCCCGAAATGGTTTGTTTTATCGCCTCACAAGATTTCAGAGAGAGAGAGAGAGAGAGAGAGAGAGAGAGAGAGAGAGAGAGAGAGAGAGAGAGAGAGAGAGAGAGAGAAAGAGAGAGAGAATGGCCGCGTAAGATCTCTAGGTGAACATCCAACCATCCCGGGGTAGGAGAGTAAGAATCCTGGGTGGCGAGGAAGATTTTAGGGTGGCGAGTAAGATATCCAGGCGAGTATCCTAGCATCCCGGGATTGGTGAGCAAGATTTCCAGGATAGAGAAGATATTTTTAAGGCCACGAGCAAGATTTTGGGTTTTTGATCAGATTAACGAAGAAAATTTTAGGATGACGAGGAAGATTTTGTGTTTTTGGTCAGAGTGGCGAGCAAGATTTGTGTTCATGATATCAAGGTGGTGATCAAGATAACAAGTTTATAATGTGATGATATTATACTGGTATTACTCTCTCTTCCTCCTTAATTCATCTCTCTCTCTCTCTCTCTCTCTCTCTCTCTCTCTCTCTCTCTCTCTCTCTCTCTCTCTCTCTGTCTGTCTGTCTCTCTCCTATCTGTCTGTCTGTCTGTTCTCCTTAATCGAAGACCAAGAGCAATATCCCGTGCCGGAGAAAACTGTCCTACCCAGCGATATTTCCCGATTTCTACTTGATTGCCATTCATCTCAGGTAAAACAATAGCTTTCTCTTTACCTTTATGCTTTCTCTGAAAACTCTCTTTTTTAATGTCACTAATACTTTCTCTTATTCCTTTTTCTTTTTTTTACTCTAGTACTTTTCCTTTTATACTTTCTTTTTTACTTTAATACTTTCTCTTTATACTTTCTTTGTTACTCTAATGCTTTCTTTTTTACTCCCACTAATACTTTCTCTTAATACTTTCTTTCTACTCTCACTAATACTTTCTATTGATACTTTCTTTATTCACTCCCACTAATACTTTCTCTTCATACTTTCTCTTTTTTTACTCACACTAATAATAATATATCTTTACTTCAATATTTTTACTCTAATATTTACCTTTTAATATTTACTCTTAATCTGGAATTTTATTTTAATTTTTTTTGCTTTATATTCTAATGTTTTCTATTAACTCTATCATTTACTCTTTCCTTAATGTTTACTCGTCACTTAAGTAGTTTATTTATTTGTTATTCTTATATGAGAAAATTTATAATGCAACTTAATACTGGTGGTGGGTCAGTTATTATTATTATTATTATTATTATTATTATTATTATTATTAGAAATAGTAGTAGTAATGTAGGTGTTATTGTACTAGTAGTAGTAGTAGTAGTAGTGGTGGTGGTAGTAGTAGTAGTAATAGTATCATCACTATTATTACTACTATCACAACCACTACAACTACTACCATCACCGGTACAACAACCACCACTACAACTCCCCTACCACCACAACAGCCCTCAACCACCACCACCTCTACCACAACAACCCCCAACCACCACTACTACAACCCCCTACCACAATAACAACCCCCAACCACCACCACTACACCCCCCCCACCATTTTAACTCGTTCAGGTCGTCGTGGTCTCGTTTATATTGTCTACTTTCGCTGCCTCTTTAGTATTTGTAAGTCGAATGGCGTACTTTAATGCAATTAACTTAAATGCATGTTGCAGTATATCCTTCCGGAAGTAATTACACGAGGAAATTCAAATGCAGCGTTATGTGTGTGTGTGTGTGTGTGTGTGTGTGTGTGTGTGTGTGTGTGTGTGTGTGTGTGTGTGTGTGTGTGTGTGTGTGTGTGTGTGTGTGTGTGTGTGTGTGTGTGTGTGTGTGTGTGTGTGTGTGTGTGTGTGTGTGTGTGTGTACGTATAAATTCATGCAGAGCCATATGTATTCAGTAAACATCACACACACACACACACACACACACATATACACACCAAATTTACACACAAATCCTGTCCAATTATTACAGACAGATGAAACTAAGTGATATATCCCCTTATCAATATCATTCCTGCCTCACCATAATAATATAAATTACTTATTACTGATACCGAAAATAATATAAACTATACAAACACAAACAATAACCTATAACACATACATTATATATCCACGGTCCACTATCATCATCTACATAAATTCTGTTTCATACAATTTTGTTCTCTATTACTGGTATCTGTCTGTAATATACATTTTGTTCTACATAAACTACATCATAAATTTTGTAATATAAATTATTGTGTTTAATATAAATTCGCTAATACTATTTTTTTCATATCACTTCTCAATATAAATTCTAATACAAAGTAACTTCAGTTCATTATAAACTTAGTTCACTAAACAGCTAATCAATACAAATTGTTAAATATAAATCGTAATAAACCTGAAACTTTGATCAATACACATTTTAATATCAATTTCCTATCAATAAAAATTCTGACCATTATATATATATATATGAACCCTCTTAATGAAACGAAATTAAATGTTCTTCTATGTGATTCAATTTGGGATGTTCCTTCTCTTAATTGAAATGTGTAATGAATTCGAACGCTTTAAAAACCTATCAGGATTTAATCCCTTGAGTACGCTCTAATTCTCTTAGTACAATGATTTAGCAGACTGAGTAAGATATATGAACCTCCTGGGTACGATGATTTTTCTGTAGTATGAGTACTGTACCATGAATTCAGGTTGAGTACGATGACTTCTGCATGAGTACGATGACTTCAGTAAGGCATATTACCCTCCTGAGTACGATGACCAAGCCCTTTGAACATTATGACCTATTCCCTTGGGTACGAAGATATTATCTAAGCAGGGCAAATCATCGAGCTTAACGAGAGAGAGAGAGAGAGAGAGAGAGAGAGAGAGAGAGAGATTTTCCTAACACACTATTCTTACCCCTAGTCAATGTGATGCCGTAACTAATCTAATAACAGACAGACAGACATACAGACAGACTAATAAAAAAAAAAAGATAGATCTGTCCACCTTTTCAGAAATATTACAAACCGTGGAATAATATAATAGACTCGTGTTATAGTTCCGAGTTACTGAGGGGGACAAGAATAGCAGGTTTTCCTTACATATTCCCCCCCTGTTGATAAAGCGGCCACAACTTCACTTAAGAACCGACTAACCAACTACCAACACTTAATCTGGACTTATTTATTACGATGATCAAACTCTGTGTAAAATTAACTTCAATGGACAGACATACAGACGGAAATACAAACGATAGGTGAAGAATAACACGATATTCCCCCAAGTGAAAACAGACAGACTAGCGATACAAACAACTAAACCCCCACCCCCACACCCACCCCACCTTCCTCTCCCCCTCCCCCACAAAATAAATGCGGCGACACACACGAGCACACATTAATATCAACATTTCGAGCACAAGTTAAAGGCTCACTTGACTAAAGGTCTTACAAACAGCATTTATGTTACTCAC